AGGTTATACCAAATGCCGGGCAATCCTCCCTTCGTTTTGGATGAACATGAGCGTGAAATTCACAGCTGTATTCTTGTCCATTTGTTGTCTGCAATAGACGTGTGTGGTGTTGGGCTATTGCACAGAGCTCTGTCGCGGCCCCTATTCTGAGTTGTTGGAGCTGCTGGGCCATCCTCCTCTTGCTCCAGCAACTGTAACTGCATTGTTCCAGAGCCACGTTTCTCTTCTGCAATGAGCACTTCGTTGGCCCATCGTTCCTGATCCCAATCACCATCCGGTCGCACACCAGAGAATTCCGCAAACAATCGCAAAAACTGCATGTACCTGCCAAAATTTTTACTTCGGTAAGGTAGGCCTCGCAAGCTTCTTCAGGTAAATGATTACAATCGAAGAATAAATAACTTTGGTGCGTTTCCTTTGATCGACCTTAGCAGAACTCACCAAACGTGCGTAGTACTTCATCCAGCTCGGTTTCCAGATCGCCATTACCGGCCTTGCTTCATCACCAATTGCCTTTCGGAAAGTGGCCAATATGTAGGTCGCTGGGTGCGCATCCAACAAGGTCAGCTTCCCGATGTCTAGCCATGTTGCCTTCCACATTCTTCAGTTAGCGTGCAACGCACATTCTTCCAGCTGCAGCGGTGTTGGCAATTGGATCGTTGGTCGTCCCCCGAAAGTATGCAAGAATCATCGCGTTGGCTTCTTCATCTTGTCATCATGTCGTGTAACCCGCCGAGCATCAAGAAGGCAGTCTGGGCGGCGATCACAAATCAGATATTAAAGAACACATTGCTATTCGCCGAAACTCATACTAAATGGTCGCTTTCTTTCGGCCACATGCCTGAGTTCATTGGCTGGCGTCCACCCTTTGTTCTGAGTTGGGTAATTCACACCTTGCCTAGAGGCAATAAAGATGTGTTTTGTTCGCAACCCGAACTCATTCCGGTAGCTTCATACGATGCTTGTGCTGATTGGTTATTCCTCTGTCTTCTCTGTCCGTTTGACCCATTCGGCCTATCAGCTGTCATCATCATTAAGCTCCAAACATGTGTCCTCTGTGAGCAACCCGACTGCATTTGGCCAGGACAAAGACAGTGTCTGACTCACCATTGGTACCACGATTCCGCTTTATTCGCGTGACTCCGGCAAACGTGGTCACTTTGTGGCCATGGTGACAGTCGGCTTCTCCGACCACTGATCAGCTACCATCATCAAGTGTACACTCACAAACCAATGGGGAAATGGCCGTAACTCGCAGTCAGTAATGTTCCCTAAACTTCCAGAGAATAACATTTTCACCTACGCTGTTCACGCAAGTTATACCACTACCAGAGGTCATACAAATCTCATTTACGACCGCGGATTTTCTGAGGTAGCTAATGGTCCTGAGCGAGCGAAGCGATTTTGGTGAAGTTGCGGTCCGCTTAGATGTACGGAATTTGGCAGGTATTAATTTGGATAAATTTATCTCCCAGCTTTTGCGGACACTTTACTGAAATGCGGGTGTAAGTACGGAATCGCTACGCCTATTCAAGTGGGTAGAATTTGCGCATCTCGGCAAACTGAGACCCGCTAAGTCCCTTCAGGTGCTTCGCAAAGTCATTGAGACCATCACAGAAGAGGCATTAATTGGCCATTCAAACGTATGCAGCTTTATCTCACGGGAACAGCATGGATTTTGCCAACACAGGTCTTGTCGCACAAACGTGTCACCACCCCAACCAAGTTGGACTGAACTTGTCGATGCGGACACCTCAAAGATATCCAGTGTTCGAAAGCTTTATAATCTATTCCAAAAGCTTCCTAAATGTGCTATTATTGACCAAGTACCAGGTTTGATAGTGAACCATTTTCCTATACACTTGAAGGTGAGTGATAGCGGCGGTATTTGCCAACTAAATGAACAGCAGCATAGAAGGTCGTAGGACTAAACATTTGGACTACGTGGATGTCAGCCAACGCTGCTCGTAATTCAAGCATCTCAGCTCGTGCAGGGAAGTCGTACTGTTTTTGCGCTCTTTCTGCTTTGCATTCATTCCTCACCATTTCGCTACCCACCATTGAGCCCGCATCCATTCGACTCAGATTTATCGACCATAAAAGGCGGACACTTCCATTTTGTATATTATCATCGCCTCAAAGTGCGGTATTTACCTACGTTTATGACAGATTTGTCGCTAGGATTTAAAGTGTGCAACTACTCAGCTTTTGACAAACATTGGAATTTTGACGCTTGTTCAAACGAGCATTCCTGAGACGATAAAGCTTGCTGGAAACAGCGTTTCTCCAATACCAGTTGCAGTAGCCGCCTCGCGGTCTGCGATACATTGCTGATCGCCCAGCGTTCAATCGGAACTGATCGATAACCGACAGTCACCCGCCATCCCTTGTAACTTTGCTTACCGATGCGCCTGCATATCAAACTACATCTAGCAGAGCAGCTACACTGACGGCTAGTTCGCGCCCAGGCGACCTTTCTAACCACACCGCTAGTACGACCCGTGTGTGCGACCGAACAAGGTGGGAAAAGTGCAAGACATCAACCAGCTCACTAAGCTTAGAAACGACCTCATACTGAGTACCAGAAATTAAGTGATTGCGGATCTAAATGGGCCCCAGTTGAAGAGCACCCATTGGTCGAGAAAAAGCAATTGGTTAGTAAACTTAGGGTCAAGGCCCTTTCACTGTTCCAACTGCTTTTTCCCAAACTGTATACATATATTACAGTGACTGGTGATAGTGTGGGCGCGTTTACCATAAGCCCTTTTATACTGCCTGTTGAAGCATAGAATTCGTCATGTGTACCCCCACCTTAGTGTAGAAGTACAACCGGTCAACATTAGAAGCCGAGTAGCAGCTGCAATCTAAAATTACTCCACTGGAAGCGAATATGCAGTACGGAAACGTTGTGGCGTCTAAGCAAGGGAATAGTGCATACTCTGCTTCAAATGAACTACGACCGGCAAATTCCCCATCGCCGTTATCCACCCAACTTTGGCAGAGTTTCAGGCGAAAACAGACCGGAGTTCTGACCGCAAAGCGGGATTCCTGACAGCGAAAGTCGGGTGCTACCCGAAATATGTGATCGATCAATTTCCGTCGGGCTTAATAACTTCTATCAGTAGCAATATTAGGACAGCATAATCTAGCCTGCTGCCGAACCCAAATCCTCGGGAACGTCAGTCACAAAAGCAAATATTCCTTCAAAGTCATTTGATATGCCATGAGTAAGGTATCTTCCGCTACACTCACTATTAACCGTCACAGAAAGACAAACATTGAACAATGATCACTTGAGCGAAAGCCAGAACCTAAGATCACAGCAGCTTGTAGCTCAATGAAAACGGGCTCCAAAAATGTTTCCCTACTGATGTGCGCACTCAAGTCCCTCCATCTATCACCGTCACGTTGCAGATTAAGCTGTCTGAAGACCTATAACGATGGGGCTCTCTTTGAATTTTGATGAAGGTCCAGACCAAACCCACAATCCCAGTATGAGTTATTCGTCGCACGAAGTTTACGCACTGTGACAAAATAACGTATCTTATTGTGAAATTAGAATCCACTATTGACGTAGAAACTGTTTCACTCTGAAAGTGTGCAACGACTCGGATCCTATGGGATACGCAGCTTATTTTGTTGTCCCTTGGGGCGGGCTGCATACGAAAAACACCTCGGAAAGACAGAGTAAGCAAGACCGCCAAATACAATTTTCCGCCATCACACGCCAAGTCTTTTCAACGATAGTCAGGATGATGAAACTCACGAGATAGAATAGTGGCCCTGCATTTGTGAAACACTCCTTGGATGACGTAATTACGCGATCGCTCAAAAGAAGTTTGCGGCTCAAAAATACCAAAGACCACCATACAGTCATAGAAAATAGCAACGTAAATTATGGATAGATGGCAGAAAGAATTAGAAACCTTTGGCGACCGAATTTTGGTTAAAGGCTGCAGAAGACGTGTAAAACCAGACAAGAGCGTATCTGAACAAACAGGCCTCTCAAGAATTCACTAGAGCTCCACTCGAGCGCTCATTCACACCATTCTGAAGTAGACCGCACGAGGGTTCAGAAATATCTTGGCGAAATTAAGTTGCTGACGAGGTGTCTAAATCACAACAAAGAAGGCAAATAGCAACCGACCTCACACCGGTTGGCCTTTTCCCACACCGACTCATTTAGCGCCCTGTGAGCTCCTAGTTACCAAGAAATCAGCTCGCTTGTATACCAGTACTGAACGTCCTTTCAATAATCTGACCGAAATGAAAAATCGCCAAGATTTTAAGCTATTTGATACCATAGATTTCCCTGAGACATGAATACACGCTGGATTGACGGATGGTGAATTCTCGCTCCTGAGCATGTCGGTCATCCGAAACGACATACTCGCAATACGTGTATAGGTAATCTTGTGTGTCTAAAGCGATCCATCTAAACACTGTGCTGTTTATTATTCATAGATTTTTTTCGAATATCTCACTACCTTTTATTGCGGCACATTAGCTGAGATATTATTCGCCTTCAGCAAACATGTAGAATGATAATGACCATGTTCATTGGTCACTGAGGGGTCACTCGCAAGAAATTGGACACAGTTTAGTCGATGGAAAGTCACGGAATTTCTTTTCCCTCCATGTGTTCCAGCAATAAAACTCCCGCTGCTTGAGGTATTTCTTCGTCCACATTACTGCTATTCCCTATGTGTTAACGAGGCACTAACAAGTTAGTCTTTACGTGACACAATCGGTGTGTCCATTCGATTTGGTGAGTCCACCGACAGGTGCTCTGTTTTCATAACAATTTAATTTTTCTAGAACGATCCACCCATCTGCTTTATCGGATTTGTCTAGCGTCAGTTTCTCCTAGCCACAATATACCATCGACTACTTACTTTCTATTAGGTTGTCTCAGGTCATGAAAATGGCGGCATGATATCCAGCTTATTAAAGGAATACTGAATGGAGAAACTGTCATGCTTTGTAGGACCAACACTTACAGTTAGCCATACGAACTGCGTGTCCCATTCATCCCGGACCTCCTCAATATTGATTACCGGAGGAGTTGTGTGTGTGCTGGATTCGTCCAAGTCCACCGCAACGTACTCTAACAATGGACCGGAAATCACGGGCCCGTCTGGAATACAAAGCAAGCTGACTCATAAAAAGTTAAACAACCCATACACGGATCCGGTGTCTTACATAACATCAGGAAACGCCTTAATTGAAGTCAGAAATTACACTTAGGTTGCAGGTGCTGAATAAGCCACAACTTGACTGATTTCATGTCAGGGCTTGAGGGTACAAGGTGGCTTTTTTCTAACTTAGGTGGTCTGAGCAAATAACAAAACAGCTGTGTAAAATTTATGCTAATCGGCAAGCATATAGCAATAACAGGGGAAAACTACATGTTTAAACTTGTGTAAGTCAATAATGTGGAAAACTTATCAACTGCTGGTGCCCTGTCTTCTTACACGCTAATCTGGTCAAGCCCGACAATAACAGGGTTCTGTTTTTTGAAGAGGCTGGGAATGCACTTCGACACCATGGCTCGACAACACCTACATTACTAGTCACTTCGGTTGAGGTTACTAACTGAACTACCAGGCTCGGTAAGGGGCTAGATAACACACACTATAAATGGCTATCGGTAAGAGAATTGGAAGAAAACTTATGAAGACCGAACTGTTCACCGAATAAATTTGATATGCTGCCATCTACGGAATGTCAGTTTGCACAACGCAATGGAAAAGTTACCAAAGGAAGCATGTTTTTATGTATACCTGAGAGAAACTTTCATATGAACGGAAGCCCTTTCCTCACTTAATCAGCATTAATCACTGATCCGTTGATATAAATAAGTATAAACAAGCTAAATGAAACACAGGTTGCACTTATTATAACTAGTCCTTTCACTATTCCTTCCTACATCAGTGAAATCGCAGACATGACTGAAGGTTTATCCTAGGATTTAATGGATGATGCGTGGATACAGACAAAGCTAGCACGGAAAGTAGAAACAACATGAATTTCTTCAGTGAACTCTGCAACATTTTAGCGACCCTTCAGTATTTATTCTAAAGGCCGTTCGTTGTGGCAGTTAGTTAACCATGTATTTTTCAAGTCGTGTTCATCTATATATTTTGCTCATAACCGCCCACGGTAAGACAGCAGCTGGCGGCATCCGTTTCCGCAAGTATCTATTGCTATGATATCTAACGATTGGATATCCAAGGCTGAGATGCACTGTCCCATCCGTAAGCCCATTCTATATCTAATGGAGACCCGAAAGAACAGAGTGTGAGATGGAAGTATTCCAAACACGATGGGCTCACAGCGCGAACGCAATCAGCCATAAAAACATTTTAACCCATCTATTTCGACGCCTTCCATTATCTATCAAATAATAAGTGGTTGTGTGCGAGAAGGCAGAGATTAGCAGTTGAGCTAGCAAGTTGCTACCTTGTTGGATACGAGTGCACTGGTGATGTTATTGCTATCAAACAGGCATGCCTAGCAAAAGGAAGCCGAAGTGAGGTAAGTACATGATTCGTTCCTAATGTATATGGGCTTGTGAGCCTAAATTGGCAGAAACCCGTGTCAAAATGTACAAAAAGGGAGACAAATGAACCCTTCAGACGGTATGCTGGTCACCACGACGTCAGGACGTTTCGCGTTCAGTTGCATAGTACAGATGATTCATCTCAAGGTTTATGGGGTGGGTTGCTTATTCTGCGTCGCCACATCACTGGAGACTCCCGATCGAATGCGCGTGAACACTGGTAAGTGTCACACGAGCAAGCTGAAGTAACCTACTAAGGTGTGGTATTCTGAGATGACAATGTACCAAAGTGCGTCATTCCCTCACACAGGTGGCCGATGTGCCAAACATCATATGATTCCCGACGCATAGAAAGATGCTACAGCTTCACTCGGTAGTCGGACCCATCCGGCGTTCCGACCCCATGACTTCCGGATGCCAGCAGCTAGTGCCACTGAGCCATGATTCACGACGGCATTTGTCCTACATCCTAGTCAGCTGTCGCTCATGCAAGTCTGCGGCCATCGCCCATGGCGTAGTGGCACAACGTGCTGGTATCGGGTCATAAGATCGGAACCCGGTTGGAGTAAAAGAAAGGCGCACCACTGAGGCGACCCAGGTGATCGAAACGTCCGTCTGGTGTTTTTGCAGACGTGTAGGAGCCTACTTGATAGTAAGGGGAGTGCGATGAACTACATCCAACTTAGCCGCATATCCCCAATACGAATGCGTAAACGCGAGCTGGTCAACCAGCACACAGATGCGCTACGTAGTTTCTGAGTCTGCTCTGTCGTATATCGTGCACTGCCTGCGCGAACTGGCGACACATGGGTGCCTGGGCTTGCGCGCACCGCGTGCCAATTGTCTAGTTAGCGTCTTCGAAGTTCAAGTACACTAGGTGGCTTTTAACTAGCCTCCTATCGATCAGAAATCGCCACCTTGACCACACGTCCTAGAAGACAGCTAACCAGTGCAGAGTCTTAGGTGGCGTGCCGTATTCAAGTTAGTGGCTCACACAAGGACTGCTTCCACAGACGGCAAGTATCCCAACCTTGAGAGTCAGAAAAGCTATCACATCTGCACTAACCAAGCACTGACATGAGGAATGCACACTTCATGAGTGTGTTATACCTATGTGACCAAGCGAACTAACCTAAGCCGAAGGAACACATGGTAATGCAGCGGGAGGTTGCGTAAGAAAATTTCCATTCCAACATATACGTGTCCCTGCTCTATACATCTAGTGCTTATGCTGCAGGTAACCGGACGATGGTTTGCGGAATGAACTACGATCTGTACCTGGTGCTTCTGAAGACGTTGCGGTGGTGTACTGTTTAGTTGCAATGCGATTTAGACTAGGAAGTCTAATGGGCAAAACACGCGTGTACGTAGTAAAAAGCATATTTTGCTACTTACAGGTTACAGTCAACTGAAAGAAGGCTGTTTCGGACACAGCACGCTGATCCTCGATCGGTAGCCCAGGAAGATAACTTTGTATGTTACAGCCTAGTGTCTGCAGATGCATTCTTCGAGTGGGCAACAACTCCAGCAAATATGGAGTTTCTGGATGCCTAGAAAGGTGAACAACTAGACTTTGACTTGACGGATCCATGGAAGACGAGACGGCATTGAGAGAAGTGCGTGTATCAATGGCCGATAGAGTAGCATTGGTTATGCTCCAGCTAAAAGTAAAGAAGTATACAATAAAGGTAGTATGAAAGTAATTCATTATATCACAATCCTGTTTTATTAGTATCAAAGTTTATCAGTTCATGAAATTCTACTTTAGCAACCTGAAGTCGAATTCCAACTTTTTAACTCAACTGCGGCCGCATTGCATCGTTACGGTGGAGTATTATGCAGCGCTGCGGGATGAGCTGGATAAAGCGTACACATGCGTCATGGAGAACATGCTACAATTCAACATCACCAAGTGCGAAATTCTGAGTATACGCAGAGTAATCACAACTACCCGGCAGGGTCACAAACACTACAACCTGCTTCTTATGAGTGCGCTCACGGCGTGATCGTGCAACGTGACCTTAGTTGTGCGGCAGACTGGAAAAGCGTCACAGAAATCTAACCAGCACTCCAGCCTCCTTCGTAAAACGTTCCGGAAGCCCGACGCCTCAGTCTTCCCGAAAATGCTTGGCGTGTAGGTGAGGCCGCACGCGGAATACACTCTACAAGCATGGGAACCCTGGCAGAAGCTCCAACCTACGTCACTGGATACTACATAATATAGGGTGACGAAGTACGTCAGAGGTTTGTCCCGCTTTTCCAACTTACTCAGGCTGAGAACTCTGTACATGTACAGTGGACATTATCGGCGTTTAGAAGACCTCAAATGGTGTATTAGATCCTAAAAACTCCAGGCACGCATGCCACTCTTATCTGTAACTCAGTTAAAATACGTCTCTAAGGGGCTATCAGTTTAAGTTGGCTACGCAGTACAGCCAACTAGTGCCGACGGAACCTTTTCTCCATCCGGGTGTTACGGCCTTAGAACGCCGTTCCGGTGCATGTAATTAATGCCGCCTCGTTACCCGTATCGCGAAAGCACCTTGGGGATACCCTGCTACATATACTCTGTGTGCTCGTGACCGTCAGATAACGGCATTGGTTCAGAACAAACAGCAGACCGCGTTATATCCCGTCTAATCCCCAGGCAGAAATACTAGCATATGTGCTACTACAAACCCCTTGGTGAGTCATGAGTCTCACGCGTTCCTTTACTGACACTGCATTTTATTTTGTAAGTTACAAGGTAACAATCCTACTGGACTTGTCCATCATTTGCTTTTATACCCGTCTTAAACCGGTGCTCTGTACACACAAAATATCTTTTTTAGCTATTTTCGTTGACCAAACATTAATAATATCATCATTTTTAGTGTACAGATTCGGTGCATGATAATTGCCAAGTAGTATACGTATTTTCGGTCCGCAGTTGAGTAATCAATGACGTGTCTTCGAAACATTTAAAGTTCGGTTACCATACTTACGGATGCACGTCAACCGCAGCTTACTTATAAATGAGAATCGAATCATCCGGCTGATATTCCAACACGCGGCAACGGAAACGAGCGGGATGAAATTCCACCAACTGCAGCTGGCTGCGTCCAGGAAAGCGTTCCGGTAATACCGTCACACCGGACAAATCTGTAAACGAAAGGACGATTACATACATAGCACTGCATTATAGGCTGAACAACGAGGCAACACAACGCAGTCCCATTGAACAGGTAGCAGTGACCACACGAAAAAGTTGCACGTAGACGATCGAATACATGTGGAAACTTATTTTTGGAACACGCATCCTCTAACAGTTGATGAGCGACAGTCCTCGAACGTTTAGGTGAATATTGAATATGCTACGCACCTAGAGCCACTTTTTAGGTTTCTAAGATTGGTTGTCGCTTAGAGTACTATCCACATGCTGTGTTTGTGTGCCGGTGTTTTGATCGCCCCAGTGACCGAGTGCACAACCACTTAAATTCCCCCGGTGTAGATAAACTCAGTGGATAGCCAAAAACAAATTTCAAATCTGAAGCTTTGGCTAGCTAGTGGATTTCGATTGTGAGGAAGCAATCTGAAAAAATGCGATCTATCAACAGGTGATATCAAGGAATGAAAAACTGTGGCAGAAATAGCATGGAAATAGTAAACTCAAGGATCAGTGACGATGAGAAGCCGTGCTGAAGCACCAATAGTAAATGTGCGGGTTTATCAAATATTGCCATCAGCTAGTTGTCGGTTCAAATAAGTATACTTATCACTAGTCAACAACAGACCTGCGATAGTAAGGGTAACGAGCTAAAAGCGGTGTGTCCGTGAATCCATCATGCTGCCTGTGAATACTCCAAGGAACTCAGAAGTAGCTTATGGGTTATCGGAAGGCAATTAAAGCATGAGGATGCATTTGCCTGCATGAGCACTAGCAGTAACTTGATGTTGTGAGCGTGTGCTTTCGGTGCAACATGCCGACTGTCTTGATGATTGGTGCTTCAAACAGTTGTGAAGATGTGGTCTGGTCGACGTCAGGTTATGATGATTTGGCAACGGTCTCACCTCATGCATCGGAAGTGAATAACAATATCATGGTACAGTGGCTTCAGCAGTACGCCGGTACCCCGTACCGACGTTTGGATGCCACGCAACCACCACTAGTGGCGCATGTGCTAAGGATACTGCGACGGTCGCCCGGTCCCCTAAGCTCGCTTGGGCCAGTGACGTCTGGATTGCAATGCAGACGTCTTATCCCTTTGTCCACCAGCCGATATTACGATACGGAATGCAAAATACTCTGGTGACTACCTAGTGATACATATCATTCGGTAGATTACAACTTAACGAAGAGTTTGGGGGCGCAAAGTTCAAAGGAATCCAGTTGCAGCTAACATACAAGTTGGGAACATGGCCTCAGAAACCGTACATCAATGCAGGTTTGCGTATCTTAGATATTCAGTGAAATGACTCCAAAGAAATGGCGGCCTTTCTCCTTTGCGTGTTGCTTCTGGTAATACGTGGTGAGTGAATCTGCAATGGTGAACGAGGACAACTCATAGCGCGAGCGTGCGCTAGCGTAAATATCGATCTCAGTTGAGTTGGTGTGTGATAACACAAGTTCTAATATTTGTGCTGTATTATGAACCATGCAATTCACGAAGGCTCTGAAATGGGTCTTTTGGATTTCACTATGGAATTCTGATCCCTACTGATCGCCATTCGGAATTACACCTGATTGTGTCAGCGGCTAATCGCCACTTTGAAATTGCGAGGTTTCCGTTACGTCATGTGATCACCAGAGATAACCTCGTTGTCCATTTGTGCATACGAGTCGTTATGCGATGAAGTATGTTCAACCACTCGAAACACATTTATCCAATCGGACTCGACGTGCTTACTTGGGCTAGAAATAAGCAGCCGAATGCTGCTCGTGGTGTCCACTCGAAGCTCGTCGGTAAAAATACTGCGCCTACAATCAGTCAGACTCGGAGCTCACAATGTGCATGCACCCAAATAACGGCTAGGAAGAAACAAAACTGATCTTTGTGCATAACTGAAGCCAGCTAAGCGCATACGAACAGAAGATGCTATGCATAATGAAAAGAAAACAAATTTGAGTACAAAGCGAACAACGCATCCGGCCGTTGTTGGGGTTGAAGAAGAATTATTAGACGTAAGAATCCATTTGCCTTGGTGTTGTGACATCTCTATCAGACTAGAGGGTGTCCAAGAAAGAGGTGACCAGTACTGGGCCTTGGAGTACCTATCGTGTGTATGGACTGTGGCACGCAATCTTGATTGAGGCTACAGTTAGCTTTGAAGGAAACCTATGCGATTTCGATCACTGGGACCTCAACCGAAGTGATGTTTCAGAGCTGCTTTCTCCCAACTCTGCACTTCGCGACCGACCGGTTTCCTCCTGATTCGGACTCGTCAGAGATAGCTTGAGCTGAGTGGGGATCTCAAAACCATGATTGAAGGCTTCCAACTTTGTTCATAGGCCAGCGCTTTACAGCATCACTTTACAGCAGCGTTTGACACTGCGGTTAGCATTTTACTATGACGCTTTGGAGTACCCACCGTGTGTCTGGATTGCGACATGCAATCTCGATTGAGGCTACCGTTTTATTTGAAGCAAACCTACGCCATTTCGATCACGAGGACCGCTTCGAAGCAAACTGTAGCCTCAATCGAGAATGCGTGTCGCAATACAGACACACACACACACACACATACACACACACGGGTCTTCATGCTCACATCACACACCGCTGCACTTGTCTATTCCATAGGCAAACTGGTGATGGCGTTGTGAGGATAACCGACATAGCTGAGTCACGCAATGGCTGCGCACACGGTGGACGTTTTGATGTAAAGTTGAGTGAGTGCAGGGTTTTGAATTCATGCTCTGTTCAGTACAGACTCGCTTTCTCCGAGCGCAATCCCTAACTTCACTAGCCAAGTAAGGCGGTATCGCTTAATTGTCTTAAAAGGAACAAGCATACTTATAATACACAACAAGTACAGCTGCCACAATTTCACACATATTTAAACCATTGTATTCAAACTCTTATTATTTGTTTTCATCTTATCAAATAGATGTAGAAGATGCATTTCCTCAATGTCATTGAGTGGACAACAGATTCCGGTCAGTTCTGCAACTCACACTATAGAACTCAAACTAAACTAACTATACAGTAATTTACCAACAGAAGACCTCTATACTTTCAGTTCAGTTCAGTTAAACGACTATGCTCCATGTACGGAAGTAGGAAGGATAAGCGTAAATTATTGTGGTGTATAAAGGAGATGAAGCAATCAGAATGAAACGAAAACTGGATTAGAAAGTTGCATAAAATTAATCGGATTGGAATGTTAATGGTTAGAAAAAAGTGACTAAATGTGGGATCATCTATGAGACCGTGACTTCAGCATGTTCGATTAGCACGCCAAGTTGTGACGTGGCCCATCCGAGATCCTCATCCAAGAGGATGGCAGGCAACAGCCTCACCTGGTTGGTCAGTCATGACTTCCTGTCACTTCACCGACTAGATGCACACAGTTTTGCTTGTGCCTTGCTGGTATATTATGCACAATGGGGCAGACGGAGAACAAACAAAAACAGAAACTGGCAAAACTAACCCGTATTGGAAAACTTGGAAAACAATCCAGTGTGACACCAAGATTCTTTCGAACTACCGCTGTCGACTTTCCGTTTATATCAGATTTCAGCAATGCCCTGCAAGTCCCGGTGACTAAAGATAGCAGTCGTCGAATCTCTTCTCAGCAAACTGGTGACCATACAAGTTAACACAATAACACAAACTTATCGCAGCGTTGAACCCAATACGTTTGGTACATAGGCCGATATCACATCGTGACGGTTTACACCCCAGCGTTTGGAAAGCCATACGGTCCTTGCTGGTAAAAATGTTGATTATTCCAGTGATACAACTACGAAGTTAAGCAAACTGATCAACTGTTTTAAGCTGCTGTTCGGTGACATATTGTATCTGGACTCTTCGACCTAGTAATGCAAAACTGCCCAACACTCTAAAAACTTGAAGGGCATGCCATAGCGTGTATCGTCAGCGGAAACGCTGGCACTGCTACTGAATCCTACGCAGATTGATCTGTATTGACTGCGTATGGATGAATGTTCATGAATTGCTCTCTCGGTCAAATTTCCGTTCCTTTTTCAAATGAAAAGAACTCATGTACACGTGAAAGCAATCACTGGCAAAAACGAAAGTTACTGCGTATCCGATAAGTGTCAAACCGCTTCTGAAGCCCGGGCTGCGACTAACACACCTCACCGTCAAACCTCTGGCCTTTCATTTTGTGCATTAGCCAAAGTCAGGAATGTCAAAATACCCATCCGGCACGGTAATAGAGTCTATTTACATGAAGCACTTATACGAGTCCGCATTGGGCTCATTTAAACAAGCTTCAAATGCTTCAAGAACACTAAAAGCGGGCGATCCATTTAAACCCAGTTGCAGCTCATAACACTATTGACCCGCTCGAATATCGCAACCAGGACCGAAAGTACATTATCTAGTTTGAAAGCAACATACCACGAGTGGAAGCACGGTCGTCAACTTTGTTTTCCGTGGCAATGTCCCAACAAGCACATTAAGTAAAAGGATAGCGTCATGTAGTAATCAGCTTACGTATCCCAGTGAGGACCAAAAATATTGAGCTATGTTACTTACCTGTTATAAGAACGGTCAAATACCATATGCCGTAGGCTATTTACTTGGCATAGCCGTTAATTTAGAGAGGCGGAATATTTGGCAGAACTTTTAGCAGGATTTTGTGAATTCATATTACCAATAAAATGCGAAAGGACAAATTAGGCACCTAGTTTTTCTCCGGATGTCTAACGATCGAGCTACTGTACCAAGGATGAACTTAGTCAAAACTTGTTTAAATGGTTACGGTATCAAGTGTGCAACTCAATAGGCATTTTGGTACCGTTGGGTGAGAGAAAAGACAATAACTTTAGTCGTTTTATTAGTGCACCTTTATAATCGACGGCGTCCATTGTCAAGGAGACAGATCCATCTGGAAGCCATGTGTGGCAAATGAAGTGGCTTCACATTTTTCAAAAATTTTCCCGCTACCCGCCTTAAAACTCAGACCTTCTTCTGGTCTAGTCTGCCAGAGGAAATACTGAACCCATGATGCGCAGCAAAAAAAAACCAAGTATACTGTCGTAAAATAACCGAAAATCGAGGCAGCTTGATGCAAAATGCGATCGGATCACACCTGAAGCTCATCCAGTCCAAGTACGCCATGATGCTGCTGAGATAATGTGGGTTGAGTAGGTTACTTCATACGCTGGTCTATACGAACAACAGAGTCTTAACGGCAGTCATATTTAGGCCAGTGGAGTTTATTTCAAAAGCTAAGCTGCGAAATGTAGAAGTACATTAGCCATTCACTTTTTGGTAACAGCATTCTTGGCGGTTGCTAACACTTTTCTTCCTACTCTTCAAACATTGTAGGCGGCGTAGGAAACTACCCGCATGAAGTCATCTATGAAGAGAGGCTTGAAGCTGAGATTGGATGACTTCAGAGAGTCATTAATGCCACCATCTCATGATTTAAGGACAAGTCCAGTTCGATTCATTTTGTAAAATTAATTCGAACCTAACAAATGTATGAGACACAGTATCACTGACGGTAAGATATCTCCTGATTCGCTATGACAGCAAGATCAGAAGGATTATCGGAACCTAAGACTTGATGAGTTACGTTTCCATTCGTCAGTGCTCAGTAATTCACTGCATACACACGAGCTACTTTCCGATAGCTGCTACATAGTTTCCTACAACTTCGTAGTACCCAGTGTCTTTATAGGGTCCCTCTCAACTCCGAAATTGCAAGCTAGCTGTAAAGTACTTAATGCGTTCAATAAAAATTAGTGCGTATATAAGGAATCCATTGATTGTAATGGCACAGATCGACTTCAAAGTCAACCAAAGCCACAAATGAAATAGCATGTCGCAATCCAAGACACACGCTGTTACTCCAAAAATGCGACTAGCATCCAAGGTTGTTTATTGCGGTATTAGTGGCACACCTGGCATTAGTCTAATGAAAGTGCGAAAAATTATTTTGATGAAGTCGGACCGTATATATTTGTTACCAAAACCTAGACGACGTTTGACTCTTTCAGCATTTGCTGCTACACGTTAAAAAATGATCCATAGCAAAAAAAGTTCTGTGATTAACTTGTCTCACTGGATGGCAAAGCAAGACGAGTATTCAAAATCGTTAGGTATATATGTCATAAAAACGAGATATGCACCACAAAAAGCGGGAACACGATGGGTCACAAGGAATAGATAAAATATCTTAGATACACCGATGCATGGTGCTATGTCTGGGAACCTGTAGAATTCCAAGAAAGCAGAAATGGTGTACGTCCACAGACGTAGTTCAACGATATACCTAGAAAATGGACACCGTTTGCTCAGTTGTTAAAGTTCATTACGTACTTCTTGTAAATTTCCGCGGTGTCTATGGAGCCGTGTTTTATTTAGTTGATGTGACATCAGGCTCGACTGATTTCCCGGTATTTGTAATGAATGCAACGGAGAAAGCTTATTTTCTCAACTCACAGTGCAGGTTGACAAGGGCGTAGACTGAAACAGGACCGTCTAAATGTTCCACAGACTCCATTGTGCTCCTTCCGATAGTCGAGGCGAGTTGCTCCGCACCGAGAAAATGACAGCCAATTCGAAGTGTCTTGAAATGGTCATTCAATAGAATAACTTGGAGATTTGACTTTGCTTCGAACCTGCACAACAGAAACGAATCCGAAAAGGTGGAATTTTTGTGTTTGAACAAGTGGAGCTCTTTGGTAAGCAAAGATTTGTTCCTTTCTTTCACTGTATTCTGCAAGTAAAACATGGATAGTTCCCCGTTTCTCACAGCTTTAGATATAAATAACCCGTTCATTTCCTTCATCAAATATTTTTCTAGAATGTGATGTCAAATTCGCTTTTGTTATATTACATCCTAGTTGGTACCCTAGGGGTGACTGGTGACCGATATACTATGTGGTTCTATTCGTGTTCCAGCCAAAACTAAGCCCATTACGAGCAAATCACACTAGAGATTCCTTGTTCAACGGAATCTGGTTGGAACTTCTTGCCAATGCTGAAACGCACATTCTGCTCTAAGCATGAAAGCGGTGTAGTGTTCCAAGCGAGAAACCTCTACTTTTCAGTAACTTCCGCTTGGCCTATAGAATCTTCGTCTATACCTCGCATCATGACTAAGTGTACAACTCGTCCTCGCTGCCAACCACCCCCGTTTGGCGGAATTTTTGCCACATTATACCATTACCGGTCGGTTTCACGATCCCTTATGTAGTAGTTGGTGATCAGTTTACGTCGGGTACCCAAAGTGTTGATCGTGGCCACATACTGACGCTTTAAAGGATGAACTTAGGAAACGAATATAGGTGAATATTCTGCGATACTTATTCCTAGTTGTGAGCCTTGTCGGATCTGAATTGTACCTCACCTGTACCAACATAGAAAAGAAGGATTATTTCCCAATCAAAAAATAAGACTTCGCAACGAAGACTCTCTGAATGCTGGCCTTTTAGCCTCTACAGATGCAACGCTTGTAACTTCTTTGTTTAATTCAATTTATATTGGTTTACAGCTGAGACTACATGTAGTGATTCAATCGCACATTGCATACATTTATCACGCTTCGCTATTATGTAACAATCTCGCTGATTTACACATGCTCTCCTTGATCAGAGAGGACCTTTCGCTCACGAACCTGCGAACTACGACCATCGCCGTGTTGACTGACACCCAACAAAATCCTTCGCTCGTTAACCGACCTTTCAAACGCTGAGAAAAAAAGTTGAAGAGGATGGATGGAACAAACCACAATTAACAGATAATGGGAGTGTAAGCAGCAAAATCGCTGTTAAGGTGATTCGCAGTTTGATCATCGCGATAACAGATACTGGTAACTTGTCCTGAGTGCATCAGTCAAGATTACATACAGTTGCTTCCCCACGGGAACCAAATCCATTGACTTTCCGTAATAACTTGAATGCTTTGCTGAATGATGGACAAGACTGGAGGGTGTGATCAGATAACTGGGTGCCAATGGGGTCACTGTGGTTAAACTCAATTGTGCAAATCTTGGCGCTTTCGTAAAAGTGTGCCTGTCTACTTTTTGACGGTTTACTGTGAAGTCACATCTTACACAATGTGGATGGTGTGCCGTAATTGATTGTCAAAGGAGAAAGTACCTAGATGTAAAACTAATTCAGGAGAACGACACTTGGACCACATTGACAGTGCACTGAGAGATTGTGATGCTGAATAATGTGTCACTGACTTGGGTCCATATTATATTAATTCGAGGCAGAATTATTAATGTTTATAGGGTCACATAGCAAAACCTGAAACTTTTCGCTGCTCAAAACCTGAATTATTGTGTGGTAGCAAAGTTTCTTTTAATACTTGTATGGGTGATTAGCTGAGTTAATACTTTAATAAGAGACTATCGAAACGCAATGAGTCAAACCACCTTTATGGAATTAATATTTGTAAACGATTTGTGCGAAGCATTTACGTGTGGGATAACGACTTGAAACGGCTGATGGAATGATGCCTCGGCACTTGTCTGGCAACCAGATTTAGCGGTATAATTAGCCATGCTGCAGATGACAGGAGTCACCTGTGTGGTTGTGCTTTCTAGTTAGTTCCTTGAACATTATCACAGTTTGAATGTTTGTCAGGGGAAGCAAAACATCAGTAAAAGTTTGGACACCCACCTTCAATGAAATAAGCTGTTGGAGAGAGAATAAGGTTGAAGTCTTGCTTAGTCCTCTGAGCTACGAAATTTGATTTTGGACGTTTCGCTACAAGTCGAAATGGTACTTCAAGCGTGCAATAGCAAGCAGCTTTTTAGCAAGTACTGAGATTCCGGAACTTAACAATGAACAATAACTTTGTACGGGTTAAGAAGCATTGCTTTACAAGCCCCATTGGGTGGTCTGCTGGGTTAGCGAAAAACGTTAATGAAACAGCATTTAGTAGTTTTATAGTAGCCCTGCACTCCGAGTGTTTCCATACCTACAACAAGCGAAAAAAGTAAACCCTAGGTATTTCACAGGAGTAGGATGGAGAGTAGCGTCAAGTAACAAAATGTAACTGGCTGAGTGCGTCATCCAACCGACTTTTAAATATGGTTAGCGTGTGTGCTGAAACAACAGATTCGGGAAGAGCGTTTCGTGGTTGACACACACGAATGGAAAAGAAATTTCTACGGTACACCAGACGGCTGTCCTGTTCTGCTAGCTTGAATAAGTGGCCTCTAAGTTTGGTGTTAATGCTGAGTCGCAGTAATGAGCGACACACATCAGTTGGATTGTGTAAAATCAAGTACGCCATAAACAAGTCGCTTTGTAGTTGGCGATACCGCCCGCTGAATACTCCCAAACGTTACAGCCTCTGCTCGTAACGAAAGTTGCGTATTCCAATGACGTATTTAGAAACCCGACGTTGAGGTTGGTCCAGTGCAGGAAGGTTGTGCTTCAGCCATGTCTGCCAGACTTGGATTGCGTATTCGACATGGGGCGAACATACGCATTCAGCATCTGTCTAACAATAGGGGATGTATAGTTGTCCGGACGCCCGTCGTAGTAAGCCGACGTGCTGGTTAACAGTATTCGATGACTGCGAATTGCTTGAAACAATCCCAGTTATCCTGAACAAGGACGCCAAGCTCGCTTTCGACGGACGACCGCTGCAGTATTGTGTTTCTAGCTTGTAGGAATCAGTACCCTGGTGTGTATAGAGAGTACCTTGCATTTGTCCACTTTAAGCTGTAACGGATTTCGAGTTGACCACTCATGTGCCATACCTAGATCACAATGAAGTAAACTCCAGTCGGCATCCGCCTGAACCCGGCGCCATATTTTGATATCGTCAGCAAACAGCAGGAATTTTGCAGCGATATTCCGTGCAAGTTCATTGATAAATAGCAAAAACAACCGTGGACCTAGAACTGACCCCTGGGGCACATCAGACTCGACTGGTATGGGTTCAGCCTAGGAACCCCGGACTCTCACCACTAACTGTCGTTGCTTGAGAAAGTTGGCTATTCAGCTCAATAGATTGTCAGAGATCCCGTAATATTAGAGCTTGGAAGGGAGGATTTGATGAGCTAAACTATCGAACGGCTTCGATACATCCAAATAGATCATATCAACGGCCTCTCCAGCGTCAGCTGGTTCGGTTCAACTACTTCTTGCGATTAATAAATTTGTTTCGCATGAATTGCAGAGAAGATTGGTGGAGAGACGTCTGCTATTAAACTGTTTAGCAAAAAAAACTAATCAAACCGGGGAGATCGGTATTCAACGAATGATGTATTTAATGGTTGATGCCGACGACTAATTCCGGGTATGTACAACTGTTCCGCAGAAGGCAGGCTGTACGCTGCTAATTTACAAGTCCATCACTGTTTTCGATCTTGTAACTCCAAGCAGCGATGGATGTTTCATTACTTCGCTACACAGATGGGAAAACTGAACGATGATAAATGACAAGGGAAACACCAATATTTAATATCTTATTTTACGCAGCGTACTTATCAGACAAACGAACAGAGGTGAAGACGCTCGTAGAATTAACCGAATTATGTGGCTTCGCTATTGTTCTCTAGTAAGGAAGAATGGTGGTCTGATCCGGCTAGCATAAAATTTGCTCTTCGTAGACTTTTTCAAATTAACCGTGTATGTTTAAGCAGGGGATTTTTAAAATACTGTTAATATTGAGGCTGAGATAACTAGCTTAGGCAAAGTACTCTAGAAGTCGTATACAAAAACGTAGGATAAACTTCGACTACCTACTAATCGGTCCCACAGTAGTGATGGTGCTAATTTGGTGGCCTTCCAGGGGGTGAATGTACATTTACGGTCACTGGGGTGATAGGACAAGTTAATACCTTCCAAACCAAGGTTGCAATACAGTTACGAAATAGCCGACTTCTGCTAACCAGTCCAGTTTAACGCTGTACGTTTAGGACACTATCGTCCATCTTAGTTTGGAAAATCGATCCAGCAAACCCTCTACTCTCTTTTTGAAACGGACCAATGTTTCAGCTTCTGGCCCTTGATAATTCATCAAACAACTGCTCCGATCCGGCTCATATTGAACTAGTGCCTAGTTTCTGAGAAGAATTCCACGTAATTCAACCACTAATCTATAGTATACTACTCACTACCCGCCGCCTACATTCTCACTTTTTGCCAATCACACACCATATCTTGATTTCTTCACCTACTCGATTGCTTCACTAACAATTACTTTCATGTCTCTTGAGAGCAGAGAGAGGAAGAATAGTTGACACAATGTAAGTTTTCGCGGTTGGCAATAGAAAAATTAAACTTAACGCTTCTTCTTCTTTACCTAGCACAAAGCCGTTGAACAGCAATGCATCAAACAAACAATGTAGGCAGAGGTCAATCTGAATTCGGAGCCGTTACTTACAATTATTTGGCACAAATGACAACGATTTCAAGATAAATGTGTGAGCAGATTACATGGCTTTCTCAAGGAAACCATCAAATCTATTGTAACCTAGGTAAATGCTGGTGGCGAAAGCAGAGTACCAAGTTTGGTGCGAACGGTTAACAAGTGATCAGGTCAGGTCAACTGCAGTTGAAGAACGCTGGTCGATTTTTCCACCTCGTCTATCCTCCCAGCTTGCGTTCAGCAGGCAATAGAGACGGATGAGCAACTAGTACACAGGTCTATG